AGCAGGGGCACCCTGCCTTGCTCCGCGCAGATCTGGCAGCACATGCCACATGCCTTCCCAGGGTGCGTGCACCAGTGGAAGCCTCCACCCCCTCCCCGCGCCCCATCAGATGAGCAGCTTGCGGCTCTGTCCTGCACTCTGCCCTGGTTGCGCACCCCACCACCCCTGCCCCTTAAAAACAAGAAAAAAAAATATAAAGGGGTACCTGAGCTGGAACTTGGAGAGAGAAGGGGTATGCTTATTAAAAAAGGTTGAAAACCCCTGGCTTAGGTGCTGAAGGAAGAAGGCATGCTGGGGACTAGAGGGAGGGAGGACTCCATATCAAGACTGAAGTCTGGATGAAGTTCAGACTAAGTAGAAACTTTGGTTTATGGTAGTTAATTTTTGGCACATATGCCACAAATTAGCTTGGCACCCTTCCCACGTGCTACTCTGAACCACTTCCTCTGCCTGATCTGCTGTTCTGCTTTCAGCTCCCCATCCTCCCTACCCAATTTCCTCTCTGTTTTCTGCTTCTTACCTTGTATGCCCTGCCTGATCATCTGCTTTGCCTTCTGTTTCCTGCCCTATCCACTGGTGTGCTGCCTGGTCCCTCTCTGATCTGCTGGGTGCCACACACAGGCTACCCATGACACTTGTGGCACTCGTGGCACAGGGTGGCCACCCCTGCACTAGGGTACGGTTTCTTATTTCTTATATAGTCCGCCCATCAGTTGACACGTACATCATCTTCTTTTGGAGGGTTTGCTTCCACAGATCCCACTGTATAATATTCCCAGAAAAATTTCATTATATTTGAGCAAAATAAATCTCCCAGTGCTTTAATGAGAGACACAACCATAAAAATTACTGGGAAATCAAAAAAATTTTAAAGAGAGAGAAAGCAAACCCCACTAAGAATGGTAAAAAACATTTTATATTAAATTGGTTAAAATTTCCCTAATTTTAGATTCACTCTATGCATCAGTAAATGATTAGAATTATTGAAATCATTTCCAGTTACTTAGAGACAGCATAGATATTTAAAAATGAAGTTAAAAGTTCCCAGCTGCTGATCTGTAGTGCTATAGCAACTTAGATATCAAGGCATTTATCCTTAATAGAGCATTCAACAGAATTAAAGAAGTTGGCCATACATGCATAATAAGAGCTAATCAGAGCCTCAAGATCTAAATTTAGCTTCCTGGCAAGTTCCTTACAGAATATGGCTTTCCACAATCTCAATAGCACCTATGGCCCACCTTTGAAAAGTATATAAATGATCCAAGGTTTTACTGACAAAATTTTAATAAGGAATTCCCAGAACATGTTGTTGTCATTGTAAATAAGTAGGCACCTTAAAGTAAGAGAGTTAGAAACTCCTTCAAGGGCTACCATGGATCTGAACATGCAGCTTCAGTTTATCCAGGAAGCACTTAAATACTACTGTGAAACATTAATTATATTACAGTATAACTGAAGAGTATGCTAGGCCATCTGTGGACAGGGTAGCAGAGCTAAGAATATTGGGGGCTACTTTATTTTTTTCCAGTTCCTGACTCCTAAGCACTTTACTTTGCAATCTTTTTCTCCTCTGCTCAAGATGGGCACTCTCCAGAAACAGTGATGTAATTAACTGTATTAGTCTAAAGTCATGGAGAAGGCAGGGTAGATTTACACCTTACAGACTAGCCAAAGTAGATTTTACATATAAATAGCACAAGCTTTCATGAGCTGAGCTCACTTCATCAGATGCTCTGAAAAGACAATACTTTTTGGACTGCTCTAGAATGTAGTAGTGAAAATACTAACATGTACTTCCTCATCCCCACCAGTTGGATTAACACCAGTGCAGTTTTGGGGAAGCTTAAAGAATAGGAATCCAAACAAAGTGATATTTTGGGGAGATACAACCACTTGTTAACTGAAAAAACAGATCCTGCTTGTTCAAATTTTTTCTCTTTTACAGGATATAAGATATAAGCCTCTCATCCCGTCATATTTTTTTACTTAAACTGGTTGGATAGGGGAATAGTATAGTCTATCATTTCCTTTAAAATTGTAATTTTTTAAAAATAATTTGAAGATGAATGACATATATTCATAATCTACCTCATCCTTCTCCAGATTTTTTAACATTTTAATGACAATTACTGCAAATTTTAAACAGTGCCAACATCTGTCATGAATTACAGGGCAAAGTACCGCTTTACTGCATTGCAAATACATGGATGCCTGTGACAAATGGATAGGCAGGACTCAGAAGCGAAACCAGGGAGACCAAATAAGAAAGAAAAGTGAAAATATCTAAAGAAAAAGATAGGAAGCAGCTGGCAGACAAAAGATCAGATTTTATGGCTGCATGATTATATTAGTGTATCTACTCAGATCAGACCTACAATACACTGAAATGTCAAGCAACAATGGAAAAGCACAATATTTTTTTCCAGGAAATATACTCAATATCAGCACTACTTTACTGAGGGCAATTATAGCATGACAGGATTTCCACTGATTGAACAGACTTGGCAACTGTTGATCCTCTGGATTATGGTGTATACATAAGAGGTCTAAGTCAGGTACATGATGAATATGCTTGTATGGAGTCCTGCAACCATCACACCTTTGATGCATATACTTAGGCAAGTGTACGGAGGAGTGGAGGTTGCCCAAGACCTACCATCCCCACTTTAAACCATTGAGACCAAAGGCCAAACTGAATCCAGACGTTCAGTGCCTCAGTGGTTGTAGCTTCTGCCAGAGAGCAACAGATAAGAACTGCTGACTGCCTAACACCTCAGCGACCGCACGTTTCTGTCAGGGCAATGTCTCTTAGCCTTTCTACAAGACAGTAGGGACTAGGGTTTTGAGGAGCCCTAACTCTTTAGGTTTCATAGATTTCATAGACATAGGGGCTAGAAGGGACCTCACAAGATCATCGGGTTCAGCCCCCTGCCCAAGGGGCAGGAAGTTAGCTGGGTCAAATGATCCCAACAAGATAGGCATGCAAGTGTTTCTTGAAAGTGTCCAGAGTAGATGAAAATGGTGAACTACATTGGTAAGGATTAAGGGTATGTCTGTACCATGACAGCAGCAACTTCTGGTGAGGACATTCCCAAGCATGTTCTTCCCTTTCCTGTACCTCTCCCTACACCACAGCATTCATGTTCCAAACCTGGAAATACTCCTGTGAGGCAGCTCTGAAGTGTTCTTCTACAGCTGCTCTCAAAACCTCAGCCTCCAGGATGTTTGAGAGCTGCTACAGAGTGAAGCCTCCAAAGTAGGCTTACTGGCTTTTTTCCAAGTTGGGAGCACGCAGGTGGGAGCAGATAGATAGGGTTTCTTGGGAATAACCCATCCAGTACATATCACTGCTATGGTGTAAATATACCGCAAATGGTCTATCTTCCAGCAGCTGCTCAATAGCCTGTGATAGGTGTTGATGAACGGGTTCATTGTTTGTGAACAGATTTACACAGTACACTACTACTATCCCCAACATCATCCTAACTGGCAGTGAGCACCTTTGCTGGAAATTTCAGAGAAGCCAAGAATTAGAGGAACACAGAGATAAGGCTCCAGCTCTGACTCCAGACTGTCCTTCTCAGTCCTTCAGATGGTACCTTCCCCCAAAAACTTGTATCATATTGGCACAGGAATCTTTGAATAGATGTTGCTCACACTATACCCGTCTAGGTGATAAACCATATTTTAATTTTTCAAAAACTGTAGAGTTCGTAACCTTCCATGGGTGCTAAACAAAATTAACCTGGCTTAGGAAAGGGAAAAACATCTTTTGGAACAGAAACAAGCACACTGAAAAAAAACATGAAAGAATTAAATCCCTTACATAGATGACTGCTGAAAAAAAGCAGTCAAGTTATTTCCCTTTGACTCCAGCTACATGAACAAAGTTCCCCTTCATTTATGTTCCCACTTTCATCTCTCTGCCTTCTTCCTTGATCCAGGTTGACATAATTTAACCCTCTCCTTCAAATTCATTTCTTTCAAAAACCTGAAACCCTACTCTTCTGTGCAGAAGACTCACTGAATTAGATGAGTGAAAAACATAACAGAAACTATAACCCAAACTAACAGATAGAGGTATGAAAAGCTTCAGCATTTTGTCATAGTGCTATAAAGTTTTATCTTCTACCTGTACACTAGCAGTTTCAATAGTTAATCTCTTTGGACCAAGAATTATATGCTACCAGGAGCTACTTTTCACACTGAGAACATATAAATAGATACTATGTGCTTACAGTATGATGGCTGCTTCTTGCTGAACTTAAAACTCTATTAATTGTTGTAGTAAAAATGTAAAATAATGCATAAGGTTGTTTAAAATTGCTGGAAATATGCAAGGATACTGCAATGCTGTACCAACAGACATGCTGTAAAATCTGAAGTTCAAATGCAAATCTTTATAACAGTGGCACCATTGAGGGTTGCGCAGCAATATTTGCTACTTTATCCTATGTTCTAGGGGTTGGTAAAATAAAAGTTAACATGCCCTGTACTTTTGACAAAATACAGTTCAATTCAGGACTAACTCTGGAGGCAGGAGACAAAGTGTTAAAACCTTTTTCAAAGTGGAGGTGTTAAAATGCTGCTACGAGGAAGCAAAGATAAAAGCCGTGCTAAAAAAGTGACTTAACTTCTATTTCTACATTTATTTCTTTCCTACAAATTCACATATCACAATAGATTGAATCCACTGCCTTCAATTAGTTTTAGTTTTCATACCATTCAATTATTAGAATGTGTCTTAATTAAGAGTAAATGCAACTGGATGAATTTCAAAACAATGAAAAATTTCATGAATGACCTGCAACAAGAAAGCTAGTTGGCGCTACAGAAATTACGTTTAAAAATAAATATTGTTGAGAATCAAAGGCACTAAATAACTCTTACCCCTCCCCCACCAATGCCTCCTACATGTTGAGAGATAAAGTGGCAGCAGTAGCATAACAAATCACATAAATAGTCTCCAATTTATTTACCAAACTCTCAGAACTTACGCAATCTTGTCACACACTGCGCACTTCCAGCTCCCATCAATTCCCATGACACGGCACTTGCTGCAAACTCTGAGTCTGCATGTTTGGCACAAGTCCCCCCTGTCGAAGATTAAGCCCAGGTTTTTCTGACAACGAACACAGACCCTGCTGCTCTGTTGCTGGCGGTGACGGTTTCCACCTTTCCTTTTCACTTCTAACAGCTCGTTTTTCAGTTTCCTAGAAGCAAACAAAGAAGAAGCTTTAATTTTGAGATCCCTACATTTCAGACTCTCGGTATTTTGTGGCAACATTTTTACCTTAAGAGGCAGAGGCAACACACACAAAAAATAAAATCTGTTAGTTGTGGGTTGAGTGGAGCTACTGACTGATTAAGCAGTTCTCATATCTGTCTGCCAGCTCATCCCCTTTTCCCCCCCATTAATAAACCCATTATAGTTTGAGAGTGGGGAAGTTTGTTCATGTTGCAACACCAACACAGAAATTACTTTCCCAGGTTTCTGGGTGAGAGCTCAACCCAGGATAATCAATTTGTGTAAATCCCCTAAGGTGAACTTGGCCCTTGTTGCTGCCATCTGGTGCCTGGCAGAACCATTACACTTATTTTGCTGCAACTTCAAGCCATTGGTCTGTGTCATCCTCTCTGCAGGCTCTTTATGGCAGCCCTTCAAGTACCTGAATACTCCTATCATGTTCCCTCTTAAGTGCCTTTTCTGCAAATTGCACAGGAAGAAGAAAAGCAAAGCAGAATGCATTTGGGTGAAGATGAAAGGTGAAAGATGCAGCACCAATATAATGGTGGAGATTTATGATAGGTCACCAAATCAGAAAGAGGAGGTACATGAGGCACTCTTCAAGCTTCTGGATAGATTTGTCACCTACTTGAACAATGCCTCATCCACCTCCTCTTTTTGACTTGGTGGCCTATCATAAATCTCCACCGTTATATTGGTGCTGCATCTTTCACCTTTCATCTTCACCCAAATGCATTCTGTTTTGCTTTTCTTCCTCTTCCTGAACCAGGGAACTAGTGTACGTGTTTTTGACATGCAAGGCAACACCACTACCTTTTTTCTCAACCCTGTCCTTCCAAAACAGAGTGTACCCCTCCATGTTGGCATTCCAGTCATAAGAGTCTCTGCAATGCCAATCAGGTCATAGTCCTTTTCACAGGCTGCAGCTTCCAGCTCATCTTGTTTATAACCCACACTTTTCACATTTGTATAGGTTCTTCGGATGCATTTTGCATCTTAACCTAGTCGCTTCTTTTTTGAGCTACTTGTTGCTGTGCTGTAGCTCTCTGGCCCCTTCCCGAAGTTGAGTTGCTTTCCTCTTCAAGTCCTTTCTCCTCTGGACAGCATGCTCTGTTGCTGGATGGTTTTGATCACTATCCCCCCGATTCCTAGTTTAAGCCCTCCCTTACTAGGTTGGCCACACAATACCCGAAAAACCTCTTCCCTGTTCTCATCAGATAGATCCTATCTCTTGATAGCAGCCCTCCTCCTCCCAAGAACATCTGCCCATTGTCAAACAAGCCAAAGTCTTCACATTGACACCACTGTCTCAGCAACTCATTCTTTTCCAAGATACAATGGTCCCTGCCTGGACCCTTGCCTTTCACGGAAACAATCTATGCCAAAAGCCTCATAGTCGCCTCCGCTCTGCTCAGTGTCATTCCTGGCAGTATCGTTGGTGCCTACACAAACAAGCAGGAAGGTGTAGTGGCCCAAAGGATGGATGAGGTTTAACAGTCTCTCCGAGATGGCCTGAATTTGGGCTCCAGGCAGGCAGAACACCTATTGGGCCCCCAAATCCAGACAACAAACTGGTACCTTTATCCTTTGCAAAGGGAGTCATCAACCACCACCATTCTTTTCTTTTTACTTCTTGGTGCAGTGGTCCGAGAACTCGTCCTTGAGGCCTTGCACTCTAGGCTGCTAACTCCTCTGCAGATATGCATTAGAAATCATTAACTTTAACATCTTCATGAAAATTACACTTCACTTTCAAAATGTAAGTTTGAAAGTTTAGATCTCTGCATAAGCAGAGTTCCATGTTGCATTCGCTAAAGTAGCAGATGTAGCTCCTGTATTAAAAGAACCTGATTAAAAGGTGAATACTGCAGATAAAATCCAAACAAAAAGAGGCTCTTAACATGCCCTACTTGGAGAACATGATTTTCCTAGAGATGCTTCCAGTTTTGTCACTACTGGCATTTATCAGTTAAAAGGTGAGGCTGAGTCTTTCCTGCATCTTTGGCTTTGTTTTACTTTTTTACCCTGTAGTTTTCTGATAATTTAAATGCCACTTTCTACAGCTGCATAGTGGTCCAGGTGCTTTATACATTCCAGTGTTATTTGTGTAGTACTCTGCAATTATAATGCCTTCTAACTGCTCCATGCTTTCAATGAAAATGTGGTTTTTGACTTGTCAACTTTATACTGTATTTATCCAAATCTAAGATGACACTGAGTTTAAGTATCATAAGATTCTAGACATGGAAAATGTATAAATTTGTTATAATTTTCCATTCATAGAAACTAATTTTGAGGGTCATCTTAAATTCATGCCCCCTTGCCCCCACTACTGCAGTGGGTAAAGGAGTGGCGGGGCAACATGGTGGGGGAGAGGCAGAGGGCAGGGAAGTCAAGTAGCCCGACCACTGCCTCTTGCCTTTTCTCCCCCTCACAACTTGCTCCTCTGGTGCCTGTACACCCCGTGCCTTCCTCCTCTGTGCAGTGCCTATGCCACCTGGCACCTGTTCTCCACCACCACCACTTAGCCCTCTGTGGTGCCTGAACCCCACCACTTGACCCCCGGGGACCTGATCCCCACC